TTTTTACCCCACGGCAATCTCTTAAATAACAAAAATAAAATCAATTGTAGTCATCCACCATGTATTTTACCGTACTAAAAAAAATCCGCTCGAAATGCACAAGACATGCCGCACACTTGGGCTATTTATAAGCCTTATGGCCACATAAACCGACGCTCTGGGCTTTTGGGCACGGCCCCAATCGACTCCCATATGCACATAACCAGGCTAACCAGTTGACAACAATTCCCGCGATCCCTCGCCCACCTCCACCCCCAAAATAACCCCGCCCACCGAGTCAGCATAGCGGAAAACTCGGACTGGGAGTTCGTAACGCGGCCTTACACTCAGAAAAAGCTGCTAATTAAAAGCTTCGATCATATTTTGTGATTGCATTACATTGTAAAGAACTAGTTCTCCCACGTTTATCTTTTTCAACATTTAGTTTGTTGTAAAAATAATTTGTTTGGTGATTTGGCGCAAAGCTGAAGGCTGTGATTTTTACGAGTGTAGCAACTGGAATTGGGCTAGGCTGCAAACGGATTACGAGGACATGCCGCAGGGTGTTGGGGCTTACTTTTCGACGACGCGTACGTGAATGACGGTATGGGCACGTCGAAAAGCGCCGAGAAGAAGCCGGGGGCTATGGGGATATAGTTGGGTAAAAAAAATACTATAGTAACTCTGCTCCATTATGAATAGTGAGGGGCGAGACTCACGGGCATAAAAAACAAGAGCGAAACCAAATGAAATTTGTGCCACGCTGCTGCCTGCCAGCGACGCAGATTAGGGGGCGTGGCAGCCGCCTACCCCCCCTCCGCGCTCCCTTCAAACTGCTGATGATGGTGATTTTTCTCGGCCACACCTCCCCCAAATCCCTTTTTCCCGGCACTTTTTCCCAACTTTGTGTGAGTTAATAAAATGTTGTATTATGTCATATTTTCGGATAGAGCCAAATGTAATTGCATAGAATGTATTCACCGACTCTGAATGACAGTTATACAAAAGGATATACGCAAATCCTAAACAGTAGTCGGGTTATAAAACCAGTTTGTGCACATTGCGGAATAAGTCACTGAGAACGATACATGGATTTAAGTGGTGGAAAATATTTAAGTTCCTATTACGGGTAAATAAACATGGTAAACAATATCCAATTAACAGAATACTATTGTAAATCATTATAGTTAAGATATTTAAAGACATTATCGAGAAGAAATGATTGGTGATTTGCAGTTGAACTTCTTTGAAGCCCTTTGATATATTAAAAAAAAAAAAACAATGTCCCCTTGATCTTTTCATTTCCGCTGACCAAACTTGAGTTTCCACCCCAAAGACTGCAGTCACATCAACCGGCAGCGTAATGCAGGAAAACTGCAGAAAATTGGCCTTCCACATCAACTCCTTTCAAATATCCTTGGCGTTCGCCCATCGTTTTCGCCAGCCTGCCACAAATAGTTTTGGAATGCAATTTGATGGAGGCAGAAATGCAACTCACATCGCGACCCCAAAAACCCAAACGACTCTACGTGTGTGCGATAGAGAGGTTCCCAGAGAAAGAGAGAGAGGGAGACTGCCAGATTTACCTGTTGGCAGGCGGAATTTATATTAAATTGTAGAGCCCAAGGACAGGCTCTACAGAATTGTGGCCTGGCACAGTGCCAGCAAAAGGGTTGGCACTATGGTTGGCAAAAAAATTAAGGCAGAAAAATCGTAACAAATTACTCTATTGATTTGTAGCAACACTATTTGTAGCAACACTAATGCGATCTCTAATATAAAGATAATACAAGATTTAAACCTTTTTTTCAGTTTCCGCATAAATCGAATCGAATCACCGATTTTAAAGTACGAAGGCGACTGCGGAGAATCCCTGACAATCTACGACTCCGACCATGCCGATCCAGCCCGGATTATCAAGACCTTCTGCGACACATTCTCTCGGCCAATGGAGAAGGTGGACTTCGTGAGCACCAGCCCCTCACTGTACGTGCAGTTCGACTCGAAAACAGGCAGTTATAGCGGCAGCTCACTGTACTACTGGGCGCACTACGATTTCTTCAACAATACTCGATTTGGGGACCCAGTGCCAAACACCTTATGCGACGAGGTGATGTATGCCTGGAAGCATCCAGGTGGACGCCTTCGATCGCCCTTGAATTCCCTGATTTTCAAGAGAACCGGTGGCAGCGATGTGCGTTGTCAATACAAATTTGTTACCGATCGAAGACTGTATGCCAGGGCCATAATCGAAGTGAATTCTGTTTCCTTCAAGGAACTGCCATATAACAGTAATGCCTGTACTCGGTGTCATGAGGAGCGAGTGGATAAGCTGGTGATCTGGGAGGAGCGGGATAAGTACCAGAATAACCTGGCCTGCTTTTGCGACAATATTCCCCGAGCGGTTAGAGTTATATCCTCGGCGGATCAAATGAATCTCGAAATGATTGTGCAGGGCCAGCATGCCATTACCTCCTACTTCAAGAACCCGAATCCTCTCTTCGAAGCTACTTATGAGTTTGCCCATGGTCCCTTGTGTGGTCCCATAACACTCGGACCCTCGCCAGATGGCGAGCTGGTATTCCCCTATAAGAAGGCCTTGGCCATGGTATCGGGACCCATGGCACCGCCAGAGCATCATTATCGCCGGGAGAAGTGCATTTGGGAACTGAAAGTGGCCGCCCAGCGAGATCTGTGGCTGAACTTGGAGAAAGCACGCTTTGCAGATCGCAGCTGCGAAAGTGCCAAGATCGAGGTCTATTTGGCGGGTCGGCTGGAGCCCAGATTTGTGGTTTGTCCCGAAAATATATCCTTGGCCAGGGATTTGCCTATCCTTACTACTGCGGAGTTGGGAGCCACGGGCGCCGATCAGGAACCACTGCCCGTGCTCATCCAGTATACGGGGGATGGCCAACCGGGCCGAAACATTTTCCGACTAGTTTGGACGGAACTCTTCCACATGCCACGTAATCCGGACGGCAGTCTGGCTGCCTCCCTTCTTCAGGATGGCGGTTGTGATTTTCGATGTCCTGGAGACACTGAAGTCTGCATTCCGAAGCACTTGCTATGCAATGGAATAGCAAATTGCCCAAATGTGACGCATACTTCGACGTTGTCGCAACTCACCCGACATATCGAGTGGAATCTGGAGCAACTGGGATTACTCCATCATGCTGGCGACTACCAGCAGTTGGTGCTGCATGATGAATCTCCCGAGATCTGCCTGAAACACGATCTCAGTGAGTTGCCATATGGAAAGTTGTCCCTAATAGCCCTCGGACTGTGCCTCATGTTCGCACTGCTTTTCGCGATTCTAAGAAGGATGTGCAGAAGCTCGTCCTTACACCAAGGAAGGCATCATCTGCAAGAGGATTACTAAGCACATTATTTACCCAAGCAACAAGAGTTCTGTGAACCTGTTTTCTAGTTTATTTGACCAATACTTAGATATTAACCATCTGATTATCCTTAGTTTTGTTAAAACTTAAAACTGGCACTGTTCGCCAACCATGCACTATTCATTATATTATATTATAATTATTTCAAAGAATTCAAAACTTTCACTTTAGGTTGCTTGCCCAAAGACTATGGTATTTTTACTGCATTGCATATAGGATCCCCATTACAAGTATGTATGTAGCTCTGACTAGTGGAGTCTATAACTTTCGCTCTACGTGACATATAATGAATATTAATTGAAAATAATTGTACGATAAAAACTATTAAAGCCCTCAAACATATAAATGTTTAAAAAACACACTCACACAAAGGAAAGAACTTAAACTGCCCTGAATAAATTAATTAAAACAAAAAATTGTCACGTGATAATTGTTGAAAAAAAGCGAAATACTTTAAAAGCGTAAAGAAACTAGATTTAATTAAGGTAGACACGTAAAATGACAAAAACAAAATGAAGTCGAAACGAAAACAAAAATTTAATTCAAAGTAAAAGAATAATTAAAATAAACAATTGTTGGTGGTTTTTATTAGTTATTATACCGATAAAATACAATATGAAAACATTGTACTATTGTTGGCAAATTGTCAACCGAAACATACATATATATACATACATGCATATGTATATATGTACGATATACATAATATAGGGTATATTTTTTGCACATAGATTTACCTAGTCCATAATTGAACGAAGAACTTCCCCCATGAATTCCACAAATTGTGGCAGAAATTTTAGAATGAGGAAATAAAAACCGATAATTCCCAGAGAAATTGTAAATTGAAACCAAAAATGGTTCTAGCATATAAGTCTATATAGAAGTGGGATCGGATGAATAAGAGTGGCATTACGGATTACAAAATCGAAGCCTTGTTCACATCCCCCCCTTTAATAAATTGTTGACAGTAAACTCCTCACTGAAACCTAAACACTCCTTGAAATTCTGCACCTCTAAGGTACAGCTGACCCCTAACCACAATAAGAATGTAAAAACCCCAAAGCAAGATATAAACAGGAATGTCCCATAATGAAATTGAAATCAATGCCCTAAAAGAAATTAAAATAAATTGGAAACTAGGACACATATTTTAGTGTACGTCAGAATTAAATGTAAAAATAAAAGTACGAAAACGAATAAACTGAGAAATTGAAAAACCGTTAATTATGATTGAAGGGTTCTTGTCGGCACCATTCGCGCAAGTTGGCATCCCCAAAAGCGACGAAATGCAGCTCTGCGTGAAAAGAATCTCTGAAGAATAGGAGTGGGGAGCAAAGGAGAAAGCAAATGTCATCGAAACGGAAAGACGAAGAGGCCTGTGAAACGCGAAGAAAAATCCACCTCATCGGCGCTTTAAATGTCAGCTGGCCCAAAGGCAAAACTCCCGGACCTCTCAACTCCTGTCAAACAAATCATCGTGTCGAGCTGAGCAGAACGTCCGGAATAGGGCAACGCGAGTGAAATTGTGTAAATCTCTAGACCCAAAAACCAGTCGAAAGTTCTTCACTGCTTTCTTCACTGCTTTCTTCTCGCTTCTTTGCTTGCCTAAGATACTCGGTTATCGATATTGGGAGTGAGCCTAGAATGGAACGATTTGAAGTACCGCGTGGTAAGCGACCCCGAGTGCAAGTTTCATTGGACGATAAGGAGCGAGCCATAGCCCGAATCCGCTGTGGTGAAACCAAGGCCGGAATATCCCGCGAATTGGGCGTTCCGGAGTCCACGGTTCGCGGTTGGGTAAAACGAGCCGAGCAGCGGTTGGCCCGAGAGACAGCTAGCCAAACGGGTGAGTGCACCGTAGGATAAGCCAGAATTATACCTATAGCATCATTACCAAACAGGTACTGCCAACTATCCCTCCATCCTGGCCATGACCCTGGCCAAGCCGCAAGTCACCATCAGCACAAAATCGTCTGTCATATCCAAATCATCATACTCATCGCCTCCGCTGGATTTGAAATCCCTAAAACGGCCCCAAAAGCGAAACATTAATGGTCATCCGGTGGCACGCACCCAGAATCCAGTCGAGGATTCAGCAGCAACATCCATACCCATCACCGTTCCGACTCCGATGCCCCTTCCTGTGCCACCAATTGTTTCGCCTGACAGTGAGCTACATATGAATGCATGGTTGCATATTTTCAATGCAGGACTTCTGAACTTCACCCTGATTGCCACCGCTGCGGTGCTTCAGGCGCGTTCCCGTGGTTTGGCGGATCGCCTGCCGTTGTCGCAAATTATCGCGGATTTTGTTGATGAAGCCGGCCGTAATGTGAATGCCAATGGGGGTCGGTACCTCGAGGGACAACCGGCGACCGGACACACGAGTCCCAGGCAACGCACAGTCCAAGTTTCCACGCAGGTGCATTCGTATCGCGGGAAGTTGAAGGCACCACCGGCTCATATCACCGCCGAAGATGACGATGACTCCTAGCGGACGTTGATGTGCCACGCTGATGTCACATGGAATGCTCTGGGGGATTATTCTCTGGGCAAGAAGATTAGGAGAGGCTATCAAATACATACATGATTAAAGATATTGTTACTTTTTTTAAATGAGAATAAATACTCTCAGCATGAAAGTATTCCGAAGATCAACAGTACTTTAAAGTTGATTAACAAATTTGATAAACTGCGATTTGAACGCTGCTCCATTAAAATATGCACTATTAAAGTGGATTTTTATTAGATAAACTGTCGTGTCAAAGGTATTCGCTGGTCAGGTCAAATCACTCCAGCGGTTCCAACTCCACAAAGCTGGTCTATGGTTTGGTGGTCGAACCGAAAGGTTTTCCTCAATGGCCATGGCCATATCGATATGCAAATAAAATGAAATGCCAGTTGCTGTCAGTGGGATTATGTTGTTTAAAGCAAATAATTGCATTTTAATTAGCAGCGAAATAAGTGCGATAATTGGCCTTCAGCCGGAGAGACTGGAATCGGATTTCTGGCCGGGAACCGAATAGGTGGCATGGGTGTGGGCCTGGCTGTGGCAGCGTAGTGTATGAATCAGATGCGGCTGGCTTTATTAACCATATTATTATTTCATTTCGGTGCGTGTCATGCAAATTTCTGCGTTTCAGCCGCTTTGCCTTTGTTGCCTGGCTGGTTCGCCGCCTGCCTTTTGGCCGAGTCACGTAATTAAGCGGTTTTATTTGCGGCTTTGCCGCACATTAATTGGTCATGTTAAATGTAAAATTTCATTTGCGCAAAAAACGAAACGTTTCCATTAATGAAATATATTTAATTTTTTCCTGTTCGTGTCGCCATATTTCAGCATTTATGAAAATGATTTTGAAGTGGATTATCGGTTAACTCGACTGAAAACTCTTAGTTTTGTTTTGCCAGTTTGGCTGTCGGGCCATGTGGCTTGGTTTCCTGTATTTAAATTTTTCGTTCTAGCCGTTTTGCGCATTTGTCATTGCCAGGAACAATTAGTGTGTTGTGACAAGGGCAATTGGAATAGCTGTCTACGCACAAAAGAGCTGTTCAGTTAGACAGCGATGTTTTTTGTGCACTGATTGCATTTTATTGCTTGTGTACAATACAATTATGAAACTGAAAAATTAAAGTAATATTTCAGTTTATTAAAAGTTGCACTTTAATGTTTCCACCCAATCGCATGGTGGCCTTTCCATTCACCTCTCACACAGCTCCATTAAGTTGGCCAACATCCTGGCCATACCAAATACCACCCACATCAGAACCGCCGCAAACGGGCCAAACTAAGCCAGTGGAAATGGCCAAGAAAAGGCCTTGCGATTATCCGTACAGTTCATCGACGAGGGCGAGAGTGGCTTTAACATAAACTTTTTCCATTTTCCTGCCTGGCCATAAAAAATATGGATAAGGGACAGGCCTTGGCCTCCATGTTAGACGGAGGGAGAAACGGGCGCCAGAGCCTTTTCCGGATTTCTTCTGCGATTTTCCCAATCATTTTCGGCATTTTAATGCATGGCAGGGCGGAAAAGCCTACAAGGCAAAGTCGAAGGCTCGCCTGCGAACGTGTATCAAAGTTGATTATCGTGGAATATTTTTCAGCATGGATTGAGCAAGAGATTTGTGCTTGTGGCCTGACCTGATTTGCGGCCCAAATCCTAAGCCCTGGGATTTGCGCCTAGATTGGCCATCGCCTCGCTCGCACCTGCTGCTGTTTGTGCTCCAACTTTGATGATGAACTTGTTGAGGAAAAGTTGGCGAGGCAGGAGAGTTTGCGTTGGTCGGAAAATGCAACTTTAATGGCCACGAAAACAATAAACGCTTAATGGAACACGACGGCCAAAGATGCCGCGTTCGCAAGGTGCTAGAAATTGTGTGTTGAAACGGAAGCGGAAACGGAAATCATATGGCACACGGCACTCGAGCACCCGCACACAGCTGCAGCTGCCACAAAGGTGCTTGGCTTTTATGTCCAGCCGGGGAGAGCGTGAAAAGTGCGGAGCTGAGAGGAAAATCGGCGAACTTTCGCCCCCTGCACACAGACCAAAAATAAACGCGTTAGGTTTTTGGAATTGGAATTGCGGTTGCAGCTGCTGGCAGAAGCCGAATGCCCAACAAGTCATAAATCAAACACGTTTAATTAAACTTTACGCACGCCAGTTGCCCTCTCCTCGTCCCTCGTCCCTCGCGCTTTTCCGCACGCCCCCGCTAGAAGAAACTTTTTGACTCTGCACTAAGTAAAAATGCAATTAGAATTGCCAGAGGCCAAAACGACTCCAATGGAAAGCGTCGATCTGTGGACACGGACACGCCCCCCCCCCCTTCCCGCACCGCCCACTTGACTTCTGGTCACGTGGCGGTACGTGCATAACGGTTACTTGCATTGGCGGAATTGTAAACTAGCCTCAAGTATCCCTAAAGTTGAAGTGCACTCGAAGGTGGTGCTATCACCTAAATCGGCGCAATTGCAACCAGCTGCTAACGGTTGGTGTGTGGCCAAAAAATGGATGAAAAAGTTTAGTATTTTTAAATTTCTGTATTTTCATTTAAGCTCTTATAAATTAAAGAAGTGGCGTAAAGGGCTTTTTAAACCCGAAAGAGGTCTTAACATAGTACAGGGCAATAAAGGACAATAATGGCAATTCAAGATAGTTTTATTTAGCGCAATAAAGGTTATGTATTTAATTTTGAGAAATCCGTTTATGTAATGAACGAATTTTAACTCGCACAAATATTCTGCTTCCACTTAATTTTGTGTTTCCCAAAAGAATGCCGCAACTTGTTAAAAGCCGCACAAATGCACTGGCAGAAACTGTGAATGTGGCAAACTGTTTGCTAGCCACCTTTGCCTTGCAGTTATCATTCGGGACTCAGACCACACCACAAACCATCCAAACCAGCCAAACCACCCAGCCACCCAAAACCACCCAAAACCGCCCACCGACTGTCATTGCGAAGGAAATCACGCAATAAACTAGCGGCGAAAACAAAACTTTAACTACTTTTTCCGCTGGCCGCTGAAACTCAGTGGGAAAACTTTTTTGAAACAATACAATTTATATTTATGCGCAGAGGCGACGGCGATGACAAAGAGGGTTTCGGTTGGAAAAGCGGTCGGAAAAGCGGGGCTGTGCTTGCGACTGACCCAGAAAATGGGCGGCTAAAGAAATGCTGGCCAGGATTCTGGCAAAGAGCAAGGAACCGAGCCGAGGCAGCAGAGTTTATTTTAAGTGTTGAAAATAACTTGACCCACATTTGTGTGGTTCCCCTCCCTTTCTGGACGCGCCCTCCCCCACCCGCTTTTCCGGGTGTTGATAACTGTTTTTCCGACCTCCAAATCCCCCGCAAACTCCTCGGAAAACTTGTCCATGTCCATTCAGTGGGCTGAATGCTGAACGAAGCTTAGTCCGAAACTATTGCCAAAACTTTATAACAAATTAATTGCATTTTAAGGGCATGCAAGAACCAGGGATGCACGGAATATTCAAATTTTCATTTGACTCATTGGACTGTGAGGAAATTTACTCGACTGGCCCATTTCCGTCGGATTCGACCACGACGAAATTGAAGCAGAATAACCATTTAGTATCGATCGAGTTTCCCTACTGTAGTTCATGGTAATATCTAAGTATAAAGGAAATTTTTGATTTACCCAAACCAAACTGACGTATATATAATATAAATCAGAATATTTTAAAAGAAGGAAGTACTAAAGGGAAACCTTTTTGTTGACAATGTTATTCTTTTCCTTAAATTGTTTTCATAATTTTCTGTTTACCCAACAGAGAGGCAAATCTGGATGGCTTGCCAAATAAACTTTCCCAGCTTGCTAATTAGTTATCACAAGATAATCGTGTTTGCTCTCGATTTGTGGGTTCGGTCATGTCACAATCCCACTCCGAGGCACAGTTTGCAATCGATACACAGAACTTGGCCAATTAACCCCTTGCCGCCCCATCTAAAACTGGTTAGGAGCCAAAAACAATGCAATCGAAGGATGAAGGAATGGCAGTGGAATGATGAAGTGGGAGCTCATAATGACCCGAAATCCTTTCAGCCCAAATGGAAATTCCCCAGTCGTGCGTATAATTGGAATTAATACAAAAAGCCGTAGAGGAATATCGAACCACACGGGGAGAAAGGAACAATCGGAGTGGGCTGGGAAAATCGGATAGTATTGTAGTATTGTGCCCCGCAGGCCAGACTTAATGACCAAATCCAGCCCGTGGGCTTGACTTCCTGAGAGCTTGATTAAATTTGATTTGTTAGCCGACAAAGAGGTTTCGCTACATGCGGCTTATTGCACTGAGAAAACAAATATTCCAAGGCCCAATCAATAGTCGAATTTATAAGTTTTCGAAACTCAACTCTTTGTTTTGTATTATCACTTCCAGCACGAATAATTTTTGTAAACTAATTGTATTTTGCACGAAAGAGATACAAAGTTAATCAATATATTCTATACAAATATTGTATTGTCAACCAAATACTTTCTCTCAGTGTGCCCATATGGCGTTAGTTGATGTACATATGTACATACAATGTGCATTCATTGAAATTATCTGTTGCCTAATTTGATCTTGCTTCTGGGCGCCAAAATATATTATGATTTTTGACAATAAGAAGGCACTAAGTCAAGCACATATGTACGTATATACATACATATGTATGTACATACAAACACACACAGTCCTTACATACAGTGGCGGATAAAAGTCTACATACGTACGTTTTCTTTGAATTTGTGCGCAAATATGCGTACATACATATATGTATGTACATGCATATATACAAGGACAGTTACATACTTACAAAGAACATCGTGCATGAAATTAATTCCCCAAGATTTCCTGTTTGTTTTTGTTGCCGATGGATTGATTAATGGATTTTAATACTTAACAACTGCGGGAGAAGCGATGACCAAATAAACGCACTTAAGAAATTACATTTATGTTACTTAGATCGATAATTCAAGTTTACTGCGCACTTCTCTGCTTGTTGCAACGCGATCGAGTTTCACCACACTAAACGGTCTGAGGTGAGTTTGGAGGATCACACCGCGCACAGTTATCATTTGTTTAGGAACGATTGGAAATAAAAGGTAGCTCTCACTCTTCTAATATTTGCATCAACTTAAAAGAGTAAACATAAGCAATCAAAACTGACTGCGCACTATTGAAAAATCGAAGTTTTTGTTGCATTTGAAACACGTAATAGTTGAATAGACTATGTTTCGTATGTTTTTAGCCTTAAGACCACATTTAATTCCTTTCTTCAACTTTATTCTTCAAATCAAATTGTACAAGCACCAAAACTTGAACCAAGACATAGAACAAATAAACTAAACTAGTTTGTTTATTGAAAACGAACAGTCCACAGACCTTATAAGTGGCGGGATGACAACGAAGGTGATCCGAAAAAAGTTCCAGCTAAAAATGGATGATTTAAGTATTAAAATTATTTGAGTAGACATAAGTATGTTACCTTCAAGTGAAAATTCCTTTTGACCAGCTCCAGGTGACTGAATTCCCGCAGGAGGCCTCCTATTTTGAGGTCACTTCGCCGGGTGACGTCGTCCACAACATTCATCAGCAAAACAGCGCTCCAATAATGAGAAATCACCACCCACTGTCCCAGGATTTTTGTGTAACTTGTGGTTTCTATGGAATCGTTGCCAAATTGCACTCCATGATATACCAGATTTACATTCGTAACAAACATTTTCAGCAAAAGAAGGGCGATGGGCAGGTCAAAGGTTCGAAAGACTTGCCGGGTTAGTCGCTGATTCTCCGCAAAAAGTTGAAAGAGATTAGCCAGGTCTCCGAGGGATCTATTGACCTTATTTGCTGATAAAACTAAGGAGTTGCGTTCTTCATAATTAAGAAATGAGCACAAATCCTTGAGTGCTATATGAAGCCTCTCACTCTGCCAGTGGAGAATCAGCAGAACCACACAGATTCCAGTCATCATAAAGACCACATATATAAACTGTATAATATGGGCTACAATCATTGCAGTTTTACTAAATCTTTGAATTGAATCAATTCTTAACAAAAGTAAAGTCCCCATCAGAATGCTGAGATTTGCGACGAGTAACATCTGGAAAAGCACATTTCTAACTCTTTTCCGTAGTGTGGAAAACTTTCTGGAATGATCATCCAGTTTTTCGCACTTAAGAAAGTGACATATTAAGTGTTCACCCAACTTCAAAAGCCTTTTTCTTTTAAGCCACATCATGAGAACACCCGAAAACATGGCCATAATTCGGGTGATGTTGGTGAGATTAAATGCCCATTGAAGGACTGGATTGCTGCTCATGTAGCTGTCATCGTACATGTAGTGCGGAAATGTGAAGGGCAGGACCATCAACAGAACGCCGTGCAGACAGGACGTATAGATGAGGTACCATCTAAGCTGGTATCCCAGAAGAAACTGTCCCTTCTTGAGAGGAGCAGGCAGCAGACCACAGGCAATTCCATATATGTACATGCATTTAAACAGCATTACGGACAACTGCTTCCGGCGAAGGACGACCGTCAACTGTTCTATGGAATCGATGGAAGCTCCGCTATCCTGCCGGAAATCGGAGAACCTGTCTGCTCATCGCCATTCCTTCGCAAGCTCAGTAAACTTTAGCCTAATTAGTTGATTGCCGCGCTTAGTACGTGGTCAGTTACCTGGCGGCCTTAAGTGCAACATGTTGCATCCGAAACTGGGTCGCGTGATGAAAGTGGTCTACTACCATTCCGTTGTCTTCGCCCTAATGAGTACTACCCTAAGGATACGCTCCCACAGGAAATGCATACGCTTAGCGAAGGTCTCGCGAACTTACACCATATACAGCTTATTTGTAGGCATATTCCTGTTCCTGAACGTGTACTACATGGTGCCCCGGCTCATAGAAGATGGCTACATGAAGTACAACATAGTCCTGCAGTGGAACTTCTTTGCCATGCTCTTGCTTCGAGCCATCGCAGTGGTGGGCTGCTATGGAACCCTGTGGCTGAAGCGCCACGAAAACATTCGGCTCTATAAGAACTCGCTGGTTTATTGGAAGAGGTTCGGACACATAATGAAGGCCATAGTAGACAGGAACGAGCTGCTCGACCTGCAAGCGTCCCTGGCCAGAATAATGGTCCGGAAAATAATATTGCTGTATGGCGCTTTTCTATGCTCCACGGTGCTGCAGTATCAATTGCTCAGTGTGATTAACAAACAGAGTTTAGTGGCTTTCAGTGCGCGACTCACGCACTTCCTGCACTTCTTGTCCGTGAAAATGGGTTTTTGCGGTATACTTGTTCTGCTGAATCATCAGTTTTTGGTAATCCACCTGGCAATAAACGCCCTTCATGGAAGGAAGGCCCAAAATAAATGGAAAGCCCTGCGCTCCGTAGCCTCCATGCACCTGAAAACCGTTCAAATAGCTAAGAGGATCTTTGGCCTGTATGACATCATTAACGCCACGGTGTTTATCAACATGTTTATGAGCGCTATTAATATCCTTTATCATGCCGTCCAGTACAGCAATAGCACCATTAAGTCAGATGGTTGGGGCATCTTATTTGGCAACGGATTGATCGTTTTCAACTTCTGGGGAACCCTGATGCTAATGGAAATACTGGACAACGTGGTAACCTCCTGCAATAATACTGGCCAGCAACTAAGGCAATTTTGCGATCTACCGAAAGTGGGCTCACGGCTGCAAAGGGAGGTGAGTCCTTGGCATCAAACTAAATTTAATATATGTATATAAACATTTTCCCATTTAGTTGGATGTTCTGACCTTACAGCTGAGGCGGAACAGGTTGGTCTACAAAATATGTGGAATTGTGGAGCTGGACAAACCCGCTTGCCTTAGTTATATTGGCTCTATTCTGAGCAACGTCATTATCCTCATGCAGTTCGATTTGAGACGCCAAAGACAACCAAGCAATGATCATCTGCACCTTATCAATTTGTTCAAGAACAAAACAGAAGTGTAGAGAAAAGCTTACAAATATTTTGTTTTGTTATTACTCTTGCTGTCGAACTGAATTTTAACCATTCATGAAAGGTTTGTTACCACGATATGATATGTAAATGTCAACCAAGCAAGCTTTCAGGACTTTACATGATATTAAAAAGCTCTCTGCAAGCTTACAGGACTCGCCGTTATGGGAATATTATAGGAAATAAAATTCGAAACTAATGCTTTTTCGTTTTGAGTTCTCTTTTATAGCGGATAAATAAGTCTACAAAAAAGTTATTTTAAGGGCCAGATATAAATGAATCTGTGCCTCGTTTTCTATAAACGAATACTTCGAATGCTTCGTTTTCTATAAATCTTAAAAAAATAGTTTTCCATAATGTAGAAATGAAACTTGGGAGATTTACGCAGACCTTTGAACCACAAAACATTTTTGTAAAATTGAGATTGAAATTCATTTATGTAACTTTACAAGCGATACTACATAAGCAATTAATTTTCAGCCATATATTTTATAGGCAATCTGGCAGAGAACTAACACATTGGTTATTATACTTCGGGTCATGTTGTGGACGGATGAATTATTCAGATCGAATAGGCCAACGATGTGCAGACGTCTTACACGTTTTGGATTCAGTTGAAGTTTGCGATTCATGTAGAACAGGGAGAACTCTAACTAGAGTAAAGGTAGTTAATATGTTTGCACTTTCAATTCAACAAAAAATAATTACCTTTCTAGACAGAATCATTCCCCTGCTTTTGCTACATTGACTTTCCGAAAAATTGATGTCCCACAGATTGGCGACGCCTTCCAGGAGAGCCAACCACTTCCTGCGGTTAATCTCAAATATGGAAAATTGCATTATGATTTCGACGTGATGGGTTAGAAATATAACCACATACAGTACTCCCTTCCATATGTGAAAGGTTTTATCAAATTCCAGGTAAATCCACAATCGAAACAAAACAGCAATGGTGAATATATAAGTGGTGAGCAGGTTGAAGAGCAACTGCCACTGGAAGATGTCAACTATCTGCTTGAGTAGCTCATCCAATTGGCGACAGCGCCTCCAAAGTTTTCGCCAGGCGGCAAGGATTTGCATCAGTCCCATCTCTCGCGGAATGCCATTCCGTCCGGGCAAGGCCTCTAGATCTTGGACCATTTCCAGAACCCCCTGTGACATATTCACCAGCAGCCAATTGCCAGCTACTTCGACCATATAGACCGTCAAATCCACATAGCTCATTAATAGAATCATGATTAGGGCGTACACTATGGCAGCCATTTGGTATGGAACCATAGCTCTCCTCAAACTGGAGTTACCCTCGCAATTAACCAAGGAGTCCCGGGTCACCAGCTGCTGGGTAAGGAGCACAAATCGAGAGCTGGTCAGCAATGCCTTGCACAGGCATCTATTCCTGCAATCGTTTCCCAGGTGAAATCGGAATTTGTGCAACAGTTTCATCAAGTCGTTGCCCAACTTCTGCAATCGACGTCTCTGTATCCACACACTGCTCATTAGGAAGAGCATGGTCAGGAGTTTGGTCAGAGCCACCACGTTGTAGACCACTGCAAACATGCCCGCATCTGGACAATCGTAGATGTTGCCCGTTAGCAGGAACAGGGCGAATGGAAGGATCAAAAGGTAGGACACATTCAGGATCGCGCAGTATGTCACCGTGGGCACATGATTAAGGATAAAACGATGATTTGAGGCATCGTATTGCAGATTACACAGTCCTATCAAACGGCTCACTTGAAAGTAAGTACGTAGTAAAAAGTATTGATTCATTTTGGAGCACGTTGAAAGCGAAACTAAGGTTAGAAATGGATCTACCATAATAGTTGATGCACAAGCAAACTAAAAGGACTCCAGGGACTTTTTAAAGGACACGCAACGAACGCAACAGGGAGACTCACTTATATCAAGGGTGTTTATCTATTATTATATATCTACATTTTGAACTTAGAAAAGTATATTCCTGCTTAAATATAATATTTGTAAATTAAAATACAATTTTGAAACTAACTAAAAAATATCAATCGAATCACACAACTATTTATATATATATTATGTATTTCCCGTTTTAAAAACTAAAAATAATGGGTTAATAAAATAGTCAACTTAAATATGGAGAGTATTTAAGGTTCAAATGCTAAAGAATAAGTTTTCCATTGCTATTCTTATCGAAAATCAAATGATGAAGTAGTTATCTAAAAATTAATCATTTATTCAGCTATTTTTCGTTTTGCAATTTCAAGTGGTTGTAGCTCGTGTGTTTGGTTTGTTCTTATCAAAATACCGCTTGATTGCTTATCTTAGTAGGTAGTCGGTAGTTTGTTTAAATGTAAGCTTATGCATAAACTACCGCAACGAAATGATGATGCTGAAGCGTATTGTGTCGAATCGTACTCCTATGCGTTAACTAGAAACTAATTATAAATTCAAGCATATTACATAAAATCACACAACAATCTCTGGTGCATTATTGCACTCGCTCTGACTTCGTTGTAAGTGGTTACGCACTATATGGAATATACACTCAGATAAGTTTGTGTCCAGATAACGGTGGGTTGATTTTAAAAAACTTATGTCAAGTCGAACATTTTTTAAATTAATTTAAAAAAATACAAATTGGAATAACTAACATTTGCTTACTACGGGTGTGACTTTTTAGTAACTTATTGTGGTACAAAATAGCTAAGCGAAAAATATTTCAGTTGAATAAACAGAACCTTATTTTTCAGGAAAAAATACTGATTTTTAAACCAGAAAATATCACTATTGAAAAGCTTGGAAAAATCAACCCACCTAAATCTAACTATATGTATGGTTAATGGTAAGGATGAATAACATTCCGTGTTTCATTTAGCACAATTGACATCTACACCTAGTAATTAACCCGTTGCATTTACGCCACAATATGGCTGTTTTTGTTTAGATCGGTGAGCAGCTCAGCGCCGAGGTCTTCAGCCTCCAAAAGATCGTTGCAGGCATCGCCGTTCAGCGAATGTGGAATGCTTGTGGATAGCACCATCCCCCGACTCCCCGTCCCAATGACAATATCATCGGGCGGGGAGTTCCGACGCCTCTCACGCTCTCTGACAATGTGCGGCGCTTCGTTGAACTCGTCCAACTCATCCATGCCTGTAACAGAAATTACCTTATTCAATTTTCGGATTTCGGTTATAAGCCGACCGCACTCACCTGCATATTTGGTGCCCGCTAAGAGCAGATATTGACCCGCTCGATGCGGCCACAACAGACCCGTCATCACACAATAGGCCATGCAGTCTGCCGAATTGGTGATGCCTTGCAGCAACTTGTAGCGCCACATGGGGCTGACTTGCAGCGCCACAATTGCCACGATGGGTAGGTATATAAACCACACCAAACTGGAAGCGCCCAGGTGAAGTAGAAAGTCCAGTTTTTTTGTGGAGTGCTCGTACTTCATTGTGTTGCGCAGCTCGTACAGAAACCACATCATAAAGGAAGTGCTGTAATTGCAATTACAGCAAGTTAGACGACTTTTACTTCGAAAAACTTTAAGGACCTACCGTAGTATTAAAACTATCCAGCCGGGCCACGTCTGGTATTCATCGATGTCGGAAACCACATCGACTTCCGTCTGCAAACATTTATGGACTTTAATGTTGGCAAATCTATAGTTTATCATGCTTCACTACTTACCCTATCCCAGATGTAAAGAAACACGTGGAACGCACAGTATGGCACCCAGATGGACATGAGGATTATCCATCCCGTTCTGCTGATCTGCTGCCTGGTAACTGCCCATCCTTTGGCCAGCAGCAGCAGAATCAACATAAATGTGGTGCGGCTCAGGATGTCCAGGACATCTCCCGCCGCCTGTAATCTTGGCTCGCCCACTCCGTTGGCCGCATAGTGAATTAGGTGAGCGGTGATCAGAGCCAGGCTGACGAACTCGCTGAGCAGACTCAGGGTAAACAACTTGGTCACTGGATGCTTTTGCCGCCGCACCGCATAAATTTGCATGGGCAGCAGAATTATGTAGACGAGCAGGAACACCAGGTACATTTCCAGCAGATTCTGCTGATCGTACGAGTACTGGTACGTGAGTGGATGTGCGGCCGAGTTGTTCGGGTGCAGGTTGACCAAATGGATGTCGTAGTGCAGTGTGTTGAGCAGGTTGCTGCCCAACTTACTTAGCCTTGGCAAGGTCTCGTGCGCGTGCCACTGGCAGGTGCTTTTGTTTTGATAACAGGCCACCAGGGAGAGGTACCAAAATCTGTCAACAAAACACATCAACCAGTTTAAACAATAAAGCAAAATCAAAGTTCATTCAAATCAGTTCATTCTCTGGAAAAATAATTATTCAAAGTCATGTCGGAAACATTGAACAACACAAATGTTATCTCAGCTTTCCGTTCACAAACTAGAGAAAACGTAATAAATAAACAAAGATATGGGGTTTCATTCATTCTATCAGTATGGAGCAAGCTCCATTGGAAAGGCCTATATATAGACAGAAAGGCAGTCTCTGAGAATGAATTGAGTATTCCCGAAGCCAGCTCTTATCTTCTGAATTGTATTTCAGGGAAAAACAAGAACTCACCTTGGTTCCGCCTCCAGGTTGAGAACGTAGGTGAACTGTGATCCCGGGACTACGTTTCCGGGTGCATCTTCATCGCTGCAGAGCTGATTAACGGGACAGGGAACATGGCGCAGGAAGTCCCTTTTGGCACGAGGATTACACGTGGAATCGTAGGCGATCCTTTGGAGGCGAGAGAACATCCCTGTGCAGGCGGCTTCCCGGCTCCTTTGGCTGCGATTGCCGTAGAACTCGAGGAAGGTGCTCCTGTCCAGAACGACGAGTGTCAAAGGAACCGCATACTTATCCGACGACGTGACATTGCCGTAGATATATCCGTAGGCATTGCGCCGTGTCAGATCCGCCTTGTTAAAGCCGAATTTCGCCAGGAACTGGAAGAAGTCCCCCGTCTGGAATTGTCCGCTGATGTGGGTGGCACTGCTCGGGGACAGGGCGATCGAGATTATGGTGAATATGAATCCCAGGAGAATGGTCCTGCGATTGCAGGTCCACCTTTCTCTTCTTATCAGTGGTTGTTGTTTGGTTGCAGCCTCTTCCTCTTCCACTTCTCCCATTGCGGGATTCCCGGACAGCTGCTCCACCATTCCGGATGCCACGTTGGCACCGCCCA